TACAAAGACTTGGAAGAGGTGGTACTATGAGGATGAAACAGTAGGGCCATATCACAACAGGCAGGAGACCTACTCATACTTCTCCTTGCCCTTCTGTGTGGGGCCCAAGGAGAAGATTTCCCACTACCACGAGACACTGGGGGAAGCTCTACAGGGGGTGGAACTCGAATTCTCAGGGTTGGACATTGACTTCAAGAGTGAGTGCCAGGGTGACCTTTTGCCCTTTTCTATTTTGTGTTTAGGGTGTGGTTGTGAGTGTGCTTTTTCATTTTGGCTAAAGGCTTTTCTTTTTTGTTTTTACTTTTAACTTTTAAGAGAATGCAAATTCCTCTTGGCTTATGGTTTGAGTTTCAGGGTAGTCTCTTGTCTTTTTTGGTGGATCTAAGAGTATATGCAAATTTCCTTATTCAAGAGTGTATGTTGATTTATTTTTATTATTATTTTTTTTGTTGGGGAAAGAGTCTACTTTTTGGTGTTGAGGCAAAGTATAACTGAATCCTTTTGTTTTCCTTTGAGTAAGAGAGAGTGAGAAAGTATTCTGGTTAGTGGCCCATGCTCCCTACCCTTTTTGAAATAAATATATTGACAATTTTTTGTTATTCTAAAATAAACTAAGTAAGTGTCAGAAGGCCAAAGTTTACTGACCTAATCCTTCATGCAGAACTGTCTTGTGCAGAAAACTTACAGCCTACACTCCATCTAATAATGTACTGGATTGTCAGTGCAGTACAATAGGATAGCAGGTGCTGCTTGCTTATTCTCTTGCAATTTAGATTTTTGTCATCATCAAGGTCTCATCTTGGACACCATATTCTGTTTCAGCTGATGTGGCTAAAACTGTATATTGTGAGGTAGAGCTGGATGAAGTTCGACTCAAGACTTTTGTTTATGCTGTGAAGAACCACTACTGGTACCAGATGTACATCGATGACCTTCCAATTTGGGGTAAGACATCAGTGTTAGTGAAATCTTTGATATGTACATTTAACCTCAATTTTAAAAAGCATTGAATAAATAGATAAACAGATGTTGATTTTATTTGATGGCATTGCTTGACCAAGAAGTACCTTATGGTTTTCCATTATTTATGTAATGAAAATCAGCAATAAAGAGAAATGTTAAGTTTAAAAAATACAAAGACAGTAGTACTAATAACAAACCATTGCCTCCCCTAGGCATAGTAGGCGAAATTGATGAGGCCAATGATGCCTACTACATCTGGACACACAAAAAGTTTGATCTGGGCTATAACGGCAACCAGATTGTAGATGTGAACCTGACCTCAGAGTCCCGGCAGAAGCTGGAATTGGGGCCAAGATTAAATTCACCTATGAGGTCAACTGGAAGAAGTCCGGGGTCAAGTTTGAAGACCGCTTCGACAAGTACCTTGATCCAAATTTCTTCCAGCATAGGGTGAGTGCACGAATTTCTTCCTTTTATCTTTGTCATTTTTTCTTCTCTGTCTGCTACCCTTTCTTTTCTTTCTTGCATTTCATTTTTTGCATGCTCTCCTTCCTGCTTTTCTTTCTTTGATTCCATTTATACATACCAGTTTATTCCTATATTCATCATTTATTAATTTTCACATTCTTTAATTTGGTTTAATTTATTGTTTCAACAGATTCACTGGTTCAGCATTTTCAACTCTTTCATGATGGTGATCTTCCTGGTGGGTCTTGTATCCATGATCCTCATGCGTACCCTGCGTAAGGACTATGCTCGCTACTCCAAAGATGAGGAAATGGATGACATGGTGAGTGTAATTAGGATCTGGGAAAGGGGAAAGGGTAAAGGTATGCTCAGACTACCCATAGATTTGTGAAATCTAGCGGTTTTTAAAGGAATCTGCCCATCGATGGACTTAATCCACTGGACTTCACCCACGCGTTTGATGGGATTTGATGAATTCTCTCTTGTCATTCGATGGATGAATGGAAAAATTACATATGTTGAGAATCTATAGTATGCAAGGTATGCATATATTTTCATTTCAAAGCATAAGGATTATTATATATTTTACATTATTCAGTATTATTCATATTTAGTTTTACATCAATATTTACATTGAAATTTAAGCTAATATACAAATAAAAAGTAAAAAAAAAAAAAAAAAAAATGACCATGGATTCTCCTTTGACTGATGAATATAAACAAAAGCGTAGCTGTTAACTTCAAGTTGAAACCGCAGATCCTGTGAATATTCGAAATGTTGAATTCTGAAGCAATTTACTCCCTCCACCTAGAAAAGGTTTGAAAGGAAATGCTTTCGAACATAAAGCATCCATAGCGAGTTTCTGCAGTTTGTTTTGATGTCACGATTCCACTGGACAAAGCAGATGGTTCTTTTCACATTGTGAAAATCGCTGGGTTCCAGTGAAATTTATAGGTAGTGTGACTGTACCTTTAAGGTGGGGATGGCATGGTAGCTCAGGTAATGGTATAAAGGTTGAGAAGGTGGAGTGAGCCTATGTATAGTGTGTGAGGCTGGGAACCCAGTAGGGTCAAGTGGGGTCAAGTCCTGCAGCAGTCTAAGGTTAGGAAAGGCACCAACTTGGGGTAATGGCTTGATGTAAACAGTTTGTGACATAAAACCAGTTATCATCTTATTTGTAAGTATGTAAATTTCTTAAACGGTAGACTGGAGTGGACTGAAATTTGTGCTTAGTTCATGCCATCTTCACCTTTTCATCATCCTTTGGAGAAAGTGAATGGTGAAGAGAAAAATTTGGAGAGGGAGATGGTGGAGGAAGTAAAAGGGAAAAGGAAATTACAAAGTGAGGAAGAAAAGCACAAGAGTCAGAGTTGGAAGAGTAGAAAGATAATAATAAAATGAGAAATGAAATAGGTTAGGTAGAGAAAAATAAGGAAAAGCAGAGGATGAGGAATAGGCTTAGGTTATCAGGTATTATGAGGGAAGATGTAAAAGAAAATTATAAAAACAAAAAAATATACAAACTTCCTCTTTTGGAGAGACATGGAATCAACCTCAATCTCTGTCCCCACTTCCCCTCAGGAACGAGACCTTGGTGATGAGTATGGCTGGAAACAGGTCCATGGAGATGTCTTCCGCCCCCCATCGCACCCCATGCTCTTCTCAGCGCTTGTGGGCTCGGGCTACCAGATGCTTACCGTCACCTTCCTCGTCATCCTCCTTGCCATTGTTGGTGAACTGTATACAGAGTGAGTATGCATTGCCCTTGGGCTTTTGTGAGGATCCTCACTGGCCAGGATGTTTCTACATATGTAGTTGTCTAACTCGGGAAGTTTTGAAATGATTATAAAGTAATGGATATGTAGAATAACAAATGCCCTTCCCATTAAATTAGTTGAAAAATTTCCCTCTGTAGTTGTAGCAAAAATGTGAAGGTTGAATTATTGTACCCTCTCAGTAGTTCATCTGATTTCAAGAAATGCATTGGAGGCAGTTGTCAGACCATTTGCTATTTTAAGTATATAGATATTAGATTAAGAATAAAACATTACAATATATAATATCAGAAAGCAATTCTAGCATTATTTATTGTAATGTTTTATTCTATCCTTTCCTTCCCAAGGATAGTGGGATATGAGAGCAATGTTGTCTCTGTGTTGATTGAGCTTACTGAGAATGTAAGGTCTTGTTAGGGTGTAATTTGTTTGCTGTATAAATGATAATGTAAATGACCAAGAGTTATTACTAATATGGGTAACTGAAGAGGTAGGTATACCTGTATAAATTTTTATGTTAGGCCAACATATTTTATACAAAAATAATTACTTTACACTACTTTGTTCACATATATTAATGTTCCATCTTCCTATCAAAAATCAGACGAGGATCTATGGTCAGCATTGCCATCTTCATCTATGCTGCCACATCACCTGTAAACGGTTACTTTGGAGGCTCATTATATGCGCGAATGGGAGGTGAGTGCTCTGTCTTTGGTCTATTGGTTTAGAAAAAGGAATGGAAATGTTTTTTTGGGAACAGTGGAATGCCTCCTCTGTTCCATTTTTTTCATTCCCATTCTTTTTTACCCTTTCTCTGTCTTCCCTCTTAAGTGGACATCAGGATTTACAGTGAATCCTGTCTCATCCCTAGGGGAAAAGACAGGAATCATTAAGCTTTACTAGAACTTCCATGACCTATAAGCCCTCCAAGTCAAGAGGTCACCCAAGAGCATTTTAGTAACTAGCACACTTACAGGATTGGACATAGGAAACTCTAGCTTACTGTTGTGAAGCATTTTTTACTGTGATGCCTATGAGGGCTGTGTTCTGTGTTCTGGATGATGTTACGGTCCTGTCCTGGAGAGATCTGGGTAGACGGCTGGGTGATGTTAACGTGGCATCGAACAAAATGACTGTGGGCCGGATAATGTGAACTTGCTGTCATGAGCGAAGGCTAGGGTGACAAAGACTCACATGAGTGCACAAACCTCTTCATTTGGCACTTGGAAGGGGCTTTAGCATTATTCCCATTGATAAATGAATGTGGAATGTAAGGTGCGTAAGACATGGAAAAGCACTGGCTCCAGGGAGGACACCATTTCCATGCTGCGCATCGTATTCCTGGCTGCTGTGACTGGCGGAGCAGGTTTTTATTACGGAAAATTGAAAATTATGAGAAAATAAGATATATGACACAAATAATTTTTTTTTTTTCTTGCGCTGAGTTATTTACATAGAGAGATGATATGGAGCTTATGCAGGAAAAATAATCTATTAATGGCAAAAAAAAAAAAAAAAAAAAAAAAGTTTATACATACTAGATTTGTAAAAGCGAAGCTCAGAGTTTTGTTATTATTCATGAGTGTTGGCCCACTCCCACACCCAGCATATGCGCCGCATGCCCGAGATGTTGGCCACTTATGCAACCCACTGCCCATATTTTGGGCACTGTAATTTGTGTGAGGCAACCGGATCCAACAGGTTAAGCTCTTAACCTTCTCATCTTGATATAAAATTCCGTGTAGTAAACTAGATCTATAGACAGAAACAGGCTCATGTAATGCCTCTCAGCTTATTGGCCAGCTCTCTGCAGTAATTATTATAGGCCTAGCCAGAGCAGTGAGTACATAGAAAATGGGAATGAAATGCTCTCCCTGGGTGCAGATCAAAGCTGGACAGCTAGGTTTGGCTACTTGATATCCATCCACTGCTATAAGCCAGCTTGTAAAATTTTTGTGCACCATAGTTCATGTATGATGTGATCCAATAAGCCTGACTGCCTGGTTGGCTGTTTAGATTAGAGGCATTATGGTCACCCCACCTCATAAGGTAAAAGCTAAGCCACTCCAGCAGCCCTTCATCTCCTACCTGCAAAGACAGGAATGTGCCCCATAAGGTCAAGGGGGGGGGGGGTAAAGGATGACATACAACAATTATTCTTCTCAGATATGTGTGGTACATGATATGATAGACTGCAAAAGTAATTTTATCCATGAGTTGAATGGCTCTTCATTCATCTTGTGATCTTTTCATTCTTGAGGAGTCAAATGAAATTTAAGTGATTTTACTGAAAGGAAAAAGACATGACTCTGAATATTCATCCCAGTGGTTACTTTCGTTAACATTTACTTGTACCATCATCATCATCCTTCTTCATATGCCATCATACCAGTCATTAACACCCCTCATTACCTCGACAGGGAAAGTTTGGATTCGGCAGATGATGATGTCAGCATTCATGCTGCCATCCCTAGTGTGTGGCACTGCTTTCTTCATCAACTTCATTGCTATCTACTACCATGCCTCCAGAGCCATTGCATTCACTATTATGGTAAGTCACTGGTTGGTGTGGTTCATGGTGAGATGGGTGCAAGTGAGAGAGATATAGATGGAAAGAGAAAACGTGATTGAGTGAGCAAGAAAGCAAGTGAAAGAGTGAATGAGAGAGTGAGTGACTGGGCATGTGTGTGCATGTATGTGCATATGCATGAGCATGTTTGCGTGTTTGTGTGTGTGTGCTTGTGTGTATGCTCATTAGTATGCGTGTGCATGTGTGTGTGTTGGCATGCAAATTTGAGATAGTCACTTCTTCACTTCCTATACCAGTATTTATTGATAACTTGACTTAATATATTCCTCTTTTACTTTAATCTGCACCAGATATTCACAATACATTTTCAGGTATTTTTCTATCACACACTCACCTTAGGAAGTGCATGCAGTCCTGGCAAGTGAGTGAAAAGATGCCATTCATTGCCTTGCAGATGGTGGGTACACAGTGGGTGACTAGCTGTAAACTCTGACAGAGACATCGCTGTTAATGATGTCTTATCTGATGTGGGTTTCCCTAAGGGTATGTATTCTAACCCCCAATGTGCGTGACAAAAGTTTTTGTTGTTTGTCCATTCAGCTGGCCGTCATCTGTATCTGCACTTTCGTCATCCTCCCCCTCACCCTTGTGGGGACAGTGCTGGGCCGAAACCTGGCTGGGCAGCCCAACTACCCCTGCCGTATCAACGCAGTTCCACGGCCCATCCCTGAGAAGAAGTGGTTTATGGAGCCCTTGGTTATCATCCCTCTAGGGGGTATACTACCTTTTGGCTCCATTTTTATTGAAATGTGAGTGGTTGTCCTTTTTTTCATGTCTTTGTAAAATCCATTTTCTCTTTGGTTTTTATTTATTTATTTTATTTTATTTAACTCTAGCTTTTTCATTATCTTGTTCCCTGTTTGTGTATTTGCTTATAGAATTTTTTCACAGATGGATTTCAATTTCAGACTTATGTGCTAAAAGCACAAAAGTTTACTCTGATGATGGTTATTTTTTTTAACATTGTCGTTAACCTTTTTATCATCAGTTTTATAATTAATGGTTCAACATTTTAAGGGCAGCGTGGGTAAATGCCCTGTACATGGCAAATTTAGGTTATTGATTTTGTTTACAAATGATTAGTTAGTAAAGAATCCCCCCTATTTACTTCTTTTCTTGAATTCTCAGAAAAAAATGCATATTTTGATTGTTTTTATAATTGGTAAAATTGATATGATTTTAATGATTATGTCAAAAATAATGCTAAATTTAATGATAGAAATATTAGAACTAATACCCCCCCCCCCCAGTTCAAGGAATGGGGGTAAACCGTTGAGTTTAAATAAGTTTATCGATTGACTCCTTGATGACCAGGTGCTTGCAAAGCCATCTATGTATAAATACAACCAATGAAACAAATCTACAGTGGACTATTCATGAACCTGGCTGAGATGAGGATTACTACTCCTACTGTTACATAATTGTTTGTTTCCCCAGGTATTTCATCTTCACTTCCTTCTGGGCCTACAAGATTTACTATGTGTATGGCTTCATGTTGCTGGTGTTCCTGATTCTCCTAGTGGTGGTTGTATGTGTCACCATAGTGTGTGCGTACTTCTTGCTCAATGCAGAGGACTACCGGTGGCAGTGGACCAGCTTCTTAGCGGCTGCCTCTACTGCTGGCTATGTTTACCTCTATGCCACCTATTACTTCTTTTTCAAAACAAAGTAAGTGTTGCCTATGTTCTTGTATCTCTTTTCCTCTCTTTGACAAAATATAGATAAGAAGAAAAACTGTCTAGTATTACAACTTTGTAAAGAAATATTGTTGACTACCTTGTAAATGTTTTCTTTATAGATAACATATTTTTCTCTCTTCTTCAGGATGTATGGTTTCTTCCAGACCAGTTTTTATTTTGGCTACATGGCCCTATTCAGCGTCACTCTGGGCATAATGTGTGGCACCATTGGCTATGTAGGCACCAGCAAGTTTGTGCGAAAGATATATTCCACCGTTAAGATAGATTAAAGGAGGAGACTTGTGCGGTTGGTCGGTTTGTGACAGGACGACAGACTACTGCTTCATAAGGACAGACAATAGCATATCTCAGAAAAAGGCACTGTAGTATTCCCCATACATGCCAGAAAAAATTCCAGATAGCTGAAAAAAAAGTGAAAAAAAAAAGAAGAAAAAAGTACCGCACTTAAAAAAGAGAAAATTGGAAAGCCATGTGCCACACCAGTGTGAGGTGAGCCACTAGGAAAATAATTCCGTGAGGGGGTCGAGTCTAGCACAAAAACTTTCTACACGATCTGTGGCCTCATCTGTTAAGTCACCCGTGACACTGCGGAGAGGTTCTCTCCCCCCTTTACAATTGCGACGCCCTGATGTGATATTGAGAATGTAGTGTAGACAGAAAGTGTGTTTATCTTGGATCCTTTTAGAGAGAGAGAGAGAGAAAATTCCTTCAGCTTTAGGAGTCTGTTAACTTGTTAGTCTCAGACAATTTTTTATATAGAATACCCGCTACTGCAGCAAGTGACATTGAGTTGAAGGAGGATTCCTCTCCCTCCTCCCCTAGACACAAGCGCATCCTTTGGTGGGACAATATTACGAAGAGGAGATATTGCGTGAACTCCCCTAGAAGGCGTCCAGCAAGTGGGTATTAACATGGCTAGATTGTAGATTGACGTCCAGTTATATGGGTATATTGATTCCTTGTTTTCTTATTTTTCTGTTTTCTATTCTCTTTTTTTTTTTTTTTCCTTCTTTTTTTCATTGATTAGAAGATGCATTCAATTACTAATAATAGTGTGGACTATATCAAGATCTTGATTTTTTTTATGCTTTTAGCATTGAAATATAAATGATTGTAAAAAAAAAGAAAAGATTAATCACGTGTTATTTATAACATGGCAGGAACTAAATGGAAATCTTGTTAGAAATATAGGAAGGAATAGTGGGGGAGAAATTTATTGCCATGGTTAAGTTTTATATACTGTTTACATATATATATATTTAATTTTATGTGTGGCATTAATTAATAAAGAGCCACTTCTCCTTATTTATTTGACATGATCATTGACATTGCTTTACCAGTGCTTAAGTTATAAAAGTTTGAAGCAAAACTTGTGTGTGTGTTTGTGCATCGGCTGTTGGTAACTGGTTGTAGATTATTTCTTTTTACAAATAAAAAAATGAAAAATAAAAATATTGACCACATTTCTGATCAGTGTGTCTGTCTGCAACAAACTGTTTGGACATTTTTCTTTCTTTTTTTTTTTCTCTCTCTCTTTATTTATATATACCTAATAGATATATATTTCTTGTTTATAAAGAGCAAACTTTACATCTTGAGCATTTTTTTCCCCTCCCCTCCCTTGAGTGAAAGTTTCTGAATTATATTGGAGTGGATCTGCACGGGCATCGGAGAAGGGTTGTGTTTTTACGCCCGGAAGTTTTAATGAAATGTTATGTCCTTCTGAGATAGTGCTGTCACCCGAGAAATACAAGTTTTGTAGGTAAATTGGTAAAGTTAGTAGTGTGTTATTTTTTATTTGAAAATTTTCTAGTTTTTGTTTCCTTTGTTTTTATTACTTGTTTTAGAAGGATGTATATTTATTTCTATGATTTATTTTTAGATGTTTTGTCAGCACAAATACTTGCTGCATTCCCAGGCAACATATTTTTCTCTATGCTGTTGTACATATAAGTATATCACATCAAAGATGCCTTCCTTTCGAGAGCGGAACATTGGGCTCTTTTTTTGTGATTAGTGTCAGGGTTATAAATGCAGTGAAGAGGAGAGCATATGAAGATGTGTTGTGCAAAGTGCCAGCACACACTAAAGTCACTGTATCCCTGGATCATAGTTTTGATAACTAGATTAATATATATATGCAGATTAATTCCGTGGTTTTTGCCTACCCCTCTTATATCTTGTGTGGCTTTACTCGCGGAGATGATTGGAAATCATTCATATTCAGGTTCATAATACTGTTTGTATGTCAAGTGGGTCACCTACAACTCCCCTTTCCTTTCCCCACCCCTGCCACCCACCACCATCCTTTCCACCTGAGAATGCCTGTGCTAAGAATCAAATTGATTCTCTTAAAGCTAGAAAATATTCTTCACTTTCATGAAAAAGTGAGTAAGCATGTGTGTTGGGGTGGTGTGTTTAGCAATAGGAAATGATGATGAAAGGGATGCATTGTTCCCTGTGTGCTTGATTGTAATGAGTATGCATGTAGTAATTATTTTCTTTGCATGTTAAGATATTTTTGAGAAAGAAAAGATTCCCTCATCCGAACCCCACCCATCATCTTGAACAAAAGGAGTGATTGGTTGAGAGAGTGAATGTCATTTTTCCTTTTTTCATACCATATTCTCTGTGAAACTGATTGAAATTGGAGTGAACTAATTTGTCAATTCTTCCATGTTTCAGTGTAACTTGCTCTCCTTTTTCATGTGTTCATCTCCTCATCTGGCAGTTTTGATTCTGTGTGCAAGTTAAGCTAACATAAGATTCTTATACAGACAATGTATGTGCTGAATAAATCATTCCAGTAAGTTGCTTTATTACTGTGTCCTAGTAAAAGGTGTATGTTCATTTCTCTTTTTAGGGCTTTCAGTGGGTTATTTTTCACTTGTTTATTCTAGAAGTGAATGGTATGTGATTATAGATTTGATACTTTGTTCTATTATGGTGATTATTGTTGTTATTACATTTATATAGTTTTTCAATTGAGTAAAGAGATCATTCTTATTTTAGGAAGTTCTTATCCTGCCTTAAGTGTCACAATTCTCATTTGTTAAAGATTACTCTGAGCAAGACCAATAACCTTTGAGTGAAAAACACCTAATTTCTGGGTTGCAGCTATAGCAATGACTGCCAGCTGTTATAGGCAACCTATTGGGGCGTAAGCTGAGAACAGATTTCTAGTATTTGAGACAGCTGTCTACCACCCATGTTCTGGTTGTCATTGTTGGAATATCTGACTATTACCTTAGAATGGAAAATTTCCCTTTTCAAAATTCAATTGAAAAGTCTCTGTTGATATATGTACTGTATATCTGAGTATTTTTTTTCCACAGAATTCAACATCCAGCTTCATGAACAGATCTTTATACATGTCAAAAAAGTATTGATGGGAATAAGTAATTTTGATATGGAAAAAAATAGTGCTATTACAGAATGAAATAGGAAAATTAACTATTACTAACATATATTGAATATATTGCATTAGACTTTGAGTCATTCTCACTCATAATTTTGTAATGTTAAGTACTCAGAATATAGTTTTTGGTGAGCTTTTAATGAGAATTCCCGTGATTGCCTACTCCCCCCACTTTTAGAATTTTTTGGAGGGGGTAATTCCTGAATGTAGATAATTTTTGGTTATGCTTTTACAGAATTTGTAGGTGTGTTAAGCGGTGCTGCTCGTGTGATGATTAGACTTAAACCCTTAGATATTTAGTAACTTTCAACCCTCAGATAGGTACCTGACAAGTTCCTAATCCCGTCCACCCAAAATGTATTGTAATATTTCTATCTCCTTGGAACTGTATGCATCTGTCTGTCTGTCTATCATCTTTGCTTATAATAATTATGGATCTGTTTGTCCATTCTGATTAGCGATCTATATATCTATCTACATACCTATCTATCTATCTATAAAGATACATAAATAATATAGTATTCAAAATTATGTATTTATAAGGTGGATTTTTAAAAGTTAAATAATCTGGATTTGTGGAGATTATGAATCAACAGAAATTGCTTCCCATTTTAATAATACCAGCAATCTAACTGGAGAATATAATTAAAGGTCTACACCGGCACCAACAGAGCCAGCACTGTCCAATGCAAATCTTTCACCGTGCACTTTCTATAATGTGGATTTGAAGGACAAGTAATTAGTAGAACATGCAGCTAACAGACTAGAAACTAAGGCATGAAAGGCAATTTTTTTTACAAACCTTGTATTTTTAGTTTATGCTTCTGTACAAAAACTCCCAAAACCTTGCTTGTTGTTGTCGAGGGAGGGCTTAGGAGATGAGATGAAGACTGAGGCCCAATGTAGAGGATTACCCCTACCTAGGGCCTCAGCCCTCGCCTCAACAAATTTTACTTGGTCTTTTCTATAGCGACCCCTTCCTCATCAGTGTCAGGAATGGTGGCATTTTGGCCACTCAGCCAAACACTGTCGCTCTACAGTCCCTGCCCTCTATGTGCCCAACCTGGTCATGACACTTCAAATCCTCAAAATCAAATTAGGCCTCACAAACAAGGCCAGACCAGAAGCACGATGATAAGGTTTTTCTCTCTCAATTTCTTCCAAAACAGTCCTTCACTCTGCTCCCCCACCTTTTTCACTCTGCATCTCCTCCAGTATCTCTTCCCTGTACCCTAAACCATCCTACCTTTACTCACCCTATCCCCCAGTCAAGTTCGTTTTCCAGTCTAAATCCAGATACTCTAATCTGTACCACTTCCCCAATACCTACCTCTTCTCACTTTATTTGTCAAACCAAGCAACCCACATGTTCCACTACACCCTCTCCTACACCTATTCCATCCCTACTCACAGGTACAAGGCAGTTCACTCAGTCGCTCTCCCCCTTAACCTTTCCCATTTTACAAATCCCTGCTCTACTTCACTTCCCTCTTTTCCCTTTCCGTTATCATATGTTCCTATAACACCCTCTAAAGCTTTGACATCTAACAGCCCGCCTTCTCCTACTTTTCCAACAGCCTTC